GAGTGGGACCCTACCCAGAAAAACAGTGATGCCAGAGATGGAGGCAGAGATGATGACGTGGAGAGATGGAGCGGCTGGGGACTTTAGACCCAGAGAGGGAGAGGGGCTGTGTGCTGATGACCAGGGCGGGGCAGGTTTGCAGGTTAAACTCTTTGGTTGGTTGATGATGCATGGAGGGGACTATAACCATGGCAATGAAATGATATACGATAGGATGAATGTAAAGCTAATGTTCTCTCATGTAAACTATCAAATAATTCATAATAAAACATTAAAAAAAGTAATAAATAAAAACAGCTATAAAATCATAGAAATCTTTATTAAACAAAAATATCAAAGTGTGAAGCCATTGTTTCTTGACATACCTTCCATTTAGGTCTATACGCTTCTGAATAGGGTGTGGATTTCACCTCTCTAATAAGTCTTCCCCCAAAGAATTCAGCAGTCTTTGATTTATACCCCATATAAACAGTTTTTACATCCTTGAAGAACTTGAATTATGTTTCTTTTTAATGTTCTTTGAGGTTCGGGGACAAAATGAAGTGTAAAGGGGCAAGATGAAGTGTAAAGGGTTATAGGATGAATGTGGTAAGGTTTCCCACTGAAATTCTCATAAGACAGACCTTCCTGTCATTGAAGAATGGGCAGGTGCACTGTTGTGTTGGGAAAAAAAAAAATTCCTCAGCATAACTATTCTGTCCTTTTTCTCATCAATGCAGTTTTCTAGTGTCTTATATCTTCTTCATAATAAGCTCCGAGTATCATCTCATGTCCTTCAAGAAAATCAAACCTCTTGGAATTCCCCAAAACAGTCACCGTAACCTTCAGAGCGGACTTCTCTGCCTTGAATTTAACTGGCCCAGCAGATCTTCTTAGAAGCCAATATTTTGATTGGACCTTTTTGTTTGAAGTTATCCTAACAAAACTAAGACAAGAGTATTATTCCTGAGAGAAACTGTGCCTCCATCTACGAATCGCAGAGTCATGTTTTGTTTGGAACTGGACCCTAGTGTAAGACTTCTTGACTTACTTTCATAAACTAAAAAGCCAGACAATGTGGAATAGTAGAGAACAAAGGACTACCTCTGATGGACAACCACTCTGAAATACTCTTTAAACCTGAACTAAAGCCTAAATCCTGACATCTCCATTTACTGAACTAGCAGGGTCAGACACAAATAAAGGGTATTGTGAAATGGAGTCCTGGTGTGGCGCTGTGGGTTAATGCACTGGATAGCAAAGCTGGTTTGAACTGTAAGGTCGGCGGTTCAAGCTCACCAGTCACTCCTTGGAAACCCTACACAAGGTTGCTATGGGTCGGAACAGACTCAAAGGCATTTAAGAACAGCAACAAAAACAACCCATGTGAATGGTGCATGATGTAAAAATCATCAGCATGAAACCAAAAGGCCGACAATTACTCGAAAGCAAAGATAAGATAAGAGGGCAGGGAAACTCGGGTACTGGAAAGAGAACAAATTAAACACCATTAAAGAGAATGTTGACACATTGTGATGAATATAACTAATGTAACTGAACAATTTGTATGGAATTTGTCACATGGCAACCAAACTTGCTGGGTAAACTGTCACCAAAAACTCAATAAAATATTTTAAAAAGAAAAAGAAACCTACATAGATCACAACAATTGGATTTGCAACTGGTTCTGAGGCTGGCTCAGGAGTAAGCATCGTGATTCTACTGTGCCTGGGGTCCATAAGCCAGGGGCTCAATGCATGACAGCTAAGGACAAACACAACAGAGGTGGTCCAGCTACATGTGAGCATGGGAGGCTGACCAGTTCCCTACTACTCAAAATCCATGGCATATTTAATTGTTGCTGATTTGTTTATTTCATTGTATAATTTAAGGCATGGAGTCCTGCTGTGGCGCTGTGGGTTAATGCACCAGACTGCAAAGCCATTTGAACTGCAAGGTTGGTGGTTCAAGCTCACCAGCTGCTCCTTGGAATCGACTCGACGGCACTTAACAACGACAACAACAGTTATTCCTATTGATAGAAATAATATAAACTCAGTGTAGAAAAGGAAGAAAAGCATAAAGAAGAAAAGAGAAACTACCTAAAATCCCACAACCGCTATTCCCATTTGGAAGTCTTCATTCTAGTCTTTTTTCTATGCATGTGAGCACAGACACACACACACTTTATCTAATTACGAAGACACTGAACACAGATCTACTTCTTTCTGCTTTTACTTTTTTGAAAATTTAACATCTTGTGAATGTTCCCCCATTAAACATTGTTGGGGTGGGTGGTTTTAATGGTTATGTAACATTCTACCTCTTGCAGAAACATACTTTCTTACACATTCCATGATGAGAGAGTACCCCCCAGGGACACGTCTGGCCTTTGTAAGGAAAAATCCCCTACAGTGGTGAGGGGAGGGCGGGACTCACTCACCTCCTCATTCTCTATCTTGAGTGTCGCCAGTCTGGACTGCAGCTGGTGGTACCGCATGAGTAATTCTGTCTGGACAGGCTGCTGAGCGCTGACTTGGCACACCTGCAGAAACAAAAGCCACCATCTGCAGTTGCCCAGTGCCCTCGTGACCTGTGTGGAGCTGGGACAGGTACTAGCATTCATATCTGTATCTACAGATGAGGAAACTGAGGTCTGGAATGGTGAAGTGACTTGCCCCAGTTCACATGGCTAGAAAGTGGCAAAGCAGTTGGGAACCAGGGTTTCTAACTCCTAAATTCAGCCCCTCAACATTATAGTGTCTTCTCAGTCAGGATCTTCCTGCATTCGTGTTTTGTTTGAGGGTTTTACCAGGAGCTTCAACTTTATCTTATTTAGTGAGACCAATTTGTTTATATAGAGGCAAGAAGTTGTGGTTAGAAAGCACTTGCCTAATAGAAGCCAATGGCAAAGACGGCAGACAGGGAAACTGTCAGTGTGAGCTCCCAGTCCCAGCAGGAAGACATTTCAGAGTCAGGGAAGAACACTCTTTAAACTGAGTGGGAAGCGGAGGGGAGGGAAAAGAACCAACCTTCACACGGATTCTATCCAGGGCTCTATTGCTACCGGTGGGCTCGGCCTGTCTGCCTTGCCTCCATCCCTCATAGATGATCAGGGATCTTGGGGTTCCATCACTGATGCTAATTAATTACCACCTTGAGTGCTGCAGATGTCTAAAGTGCTCTGCTGCTAACCAAGAGGTTGAAGTTTCGAGTTCACCTAGAGGTGTCTTGGCAAATTGACTTCTGAAAAATCAGCCACTGAAAACCCAATGGAGCACAGTTCTACTCTGACACACATAGGGCCACCATTAGTTGGGATCATCTGTTGGTTTAGGTAACCCACACTTTGTAATCATCGGGGTTAACCATGAGACCAGCATTTTCAGGTCTGGATGATGATGTGGAATGGCTGAACACAGGGGAGAGCGGATGGGTCAGGACCATTGTTGAAACCCTATAGGCAGAAGGTCCCTCTTATGCAAATGTAGTAAGTGGGCAATGCCCCTGAAGAACCATTGGAACTTAGCTAATGCCATCTCTGAAAGGCTTCCTTGTCCCCTGCTGCTACAGTGGTATAGTGGGTACCCCTGCAGAGCTGATTCAGAAGCTGACTAAGTCCAATATATTCTGTTAGCATGGGCCCCATTTCCAATGTGTACAGCGGGCCATTTCTGAGTGGAGGAGAGGGGGACAAAAGGTAAGAGTTCTGTGCACATGTCCCTGGGGGTAAGATGGCAGAGATAGGGAACAAATGTAGTATCTGGTGGCTCTCCTCTCCTCTCGTTCCAGGGACTAGTGCCTGAGTCCTTAAGAGAAGAGGGGCAGGACACAGAAAAGCACAAAAAGCTATCTGTATTTTGTAGTGCTGCCTTGGGGCTTGTGGCAAAGTACATCTCCCCATTATTCTTCCAGGCTATAGCAAGGCTGTGAGCAGCAGAGCAAACACTAAAAGCTACAGGGTCTCTTGGTACAGCCTAGGATCCCAGCATGGGAGGAGAAGCTATACCAGGCAGCTGTGTGAAGCTGGGTGAGGTCCACAGGCATCAGAGGGAAGAACTTGAGGCAGCTGTTGTAAGCAGATATGGGACTCTCTGGGGTCTCTTAGACAACACTGAGAGGATTTTTAAGGGATGCACTGTGGACTAATGCACTGGACTGCAAAGCCATTTGAACTGCAAGGTCAGCGGTTCAAGCTTACCAGCTGTTCCCTGGAAACCCCATACAGGGTTGCTATGGGTTGGAACCAACTCGATGGCACTTCACAACAACAACAACAACAACAACGGTACGGCACCACCACCCATCTTTCAATTTGTCCTACTATGGAGCTTGTGAGCTGCTGTGTGATGCTGGAAATATTTCAAATCCCAGCAGGGTCACCCACGGTGGACAGGTTTCAACAGAGCGTCCAGACAAAGACAGACTAGGAAGGAAGGTCTGTTGACCTATGCCTGAAACTAAGCCAATGACCCTATGGATCATGACAGAATTTCAATGTGACATATGATGACAAAGAACTTAACTGGGCCAGTCACTACCCAGTATGGAGATTGTCTGATACAGTGCTGGAAGGTGAACCCTGCAGGTTGGAAGGCAATCACAATACATAGTGGCCCCAGCAATGAATTTGAGCACATTAGCAACCACGGAGATGGCACATGATAGAGAAGGGACACTTGAGTTGGCATGGACTTGACAGCAGCTAACAATCACAACAAAGCCTGATGATTCTGCAGGTTAGGGGCTTGAGTCAACAGGGTTAGTCCATGGTTAGTAGTAAATTCCTTGGCTGCAGAAGCCCATAAACCATGAACTGGACTTCAGGTGTTTAAAATAAACATCCTGCATTTGGACCCAGGGAAGAAGTTCACCCCTAACATGTGTTCTAGGATTACAGTGGAGAACAGACCGAAGAGGCTGCAGCATGGTCTCCAGAGGCAGGAGAAGCTTACCTCATCCCCCATGTGGGGCTGGAACTCGAATTTGAGTGGTGGGCAGAAGACCTGGTTGCACATGTCCATGACTGTGTGTTTGTCACTTCTGGAATCCAGGTTATCCACCGCGTTCTCAATGACATCCAGGCCCTCGTGGCGCGAGGTCTCCAGGTTGTATTCGGCTGAGAGGTAGGTCCGGAAGGTGCGGGCCAGGCTGGCATGAAAGCCCAAGTCACAACACTTAGAGGGAGACACACACAGAAAGAGCGTGAGAGTCTGATGCAGGGTGGTGACCTTAGGCATTGTGGTTACCTCCCACTCCACAGCCAGACCTGTCAGCCAGAGGCCCCGGGGCACCATGGAATCAACCATACAAATCACACCAAAGCCTTACAGGAAGTAGGGGATTCAGATATGGGCAATAGCAGAGTTTGTTCCTGATTCTCCTCTCAATCCACCACATTCTTTCTCCTTCCAAGTCTTCACACATGCACCGGCCTCTGCCTGGAATATTCTTCTCTTCTCCTGTCTCAGTGCCTTTCCTTCAGATTTCAGTTTAGATGTCACTTCCTTCAGGAAGCCTTCCCTGATGTCCTTCCTATTAAAAACTCAGGTGTCTCTCCACCCTCTCATTGTGACACTTATGACTCTGCATTGCAATTGCCTATCAACATATTCCCGAGAGGGCTCCTAAGGCAAGATAGTAGAGCAAACACAGACTTTGAGCAGACCCTCTCAACAAAGACATGGGAGACCAAGTGAAACCCTGGAACCCTGAGCTTCAGAAAATAAGACAGAGAGGTGGGCTGAGTGCAGATTGGGAGAGAAAACTGATCAGGAACAAGGAGAGAAAAGAAAAATGGGCAGACTATAGTCCTGGTGTGGTGCTGTGGCCTAATGCATCAGACTACAAAGTCATTTGAACTGCAAGGTCTGTGGTTCAAGCTTACCAGCTGCTCCTTGGAAACCCTATACAGGATTGCTATGGGTTGGAATGGACTCAACGGCACTTAACAACAACAGGCTGGCCTGGAATGGTATGGCTACACTGAGCTTTTGCAAGCAGCTGTCAAGACTGAAAATATAAATGAAAAAATTGGAAACCATACAAAAACAACAACTGGAAAGCCAGAAGATTAGTATGAAGACTTCAGAAATAGATAATATACATTGAAAGGGCAAGGAAGTAGAATTGCATCAATAGAAGATTGAGTTATTGAGCTTGCATCTCTCAATATTTATCTTCTAAAGGAATCATCAGAAAAAAATAATAATTTGAAAATCCAAAGTAAGCCTGTGATTTATATGGGATATTATCAAGGGTAATAACTTATGTGTGACTGGGATTCCAGAACAGGAAAAGAGCTAAAAAAAAAAAAAAAAAAATCATAGAGGAAACTGTCTAAGAGTTGTTGGAAGAAAACTTTCCCAACATCTTTAAACATAAGAACATATGCATTCAAGAAGTTGAATGAACACTAAGTAGAATGTTGTTGTTAAGTGCCATAGACTCGGTTCCCATAGCGACCCTGCATAGTGTTTCTGAGGAGCAGCTGGTGAGCTTGCAGTTCAAATGGTTTTGCAGTCTGGCACATTAACCCACAGCGCCACACACAAAAAATCACCAAGACATATTCTAATCAAACTTTTCAAAACCAAATACAAGGAAAGAATTCTAGAGAACAGCTCAGGAAAAATGAAAAGTTACTGACAAAGAAGAACTAGTAAGACTAAACTCTGATATCTCAGACATATATAAAACTCTAAAAGAAAACTTGCCACCCAAGAATCATACCCAGCAAAACTGTCCATAAAATGTGATTGTGAAATTAGGATATTTTTAGATAAACAGAACTGAAAGAATTTTCAAAAACCAGACTAATCTTACAAAAAACACTAAAGGGAGTTTTTTGGACAGAGAACCAATAACAGCAGACAACAACTTGAGAGTAACATACATGACAATATCACCCAGAACTCAACCCAGATACAGAAGTCTGTAAAGTAAAACAGACATTTAAGACTGAAAACAAGGATCCAGAGAAACCAGTTGCAACAATAACAAAAAACCCATTAAGCAAAAGGAGGGAATAATGTAGTTACAGAACTTCCAAATGAAGAGGAAATCAAACAGATTTCAAGAAAAAAAACAAAACTAATTGTAACCATAAAACTAGGCCAAGCTTTACTCCTAGCCCTAGCCCAACCTCTATTGTTAACGCTAACTCTAGTCCTAACCATAATCCTAACATTAAATGAAGTCCTAGGCCTAGCCTAGGCCTAGCCATAGTCCTAACCCTTACTCTTCCCTCAACTCCCCCCATCATATCCCCTAGAATGTCTGCTCCTTGAGGGCAGACCTGCTGACATGGCTCACTGCTGCCCCCAGCACCCAACTCAAGTTCAAAACTATAAGTTAAGTGCCCCTGAGTTGGTTTCGACTCATAGTGACCCTATATAGGGTTCAAGGAGCAGCTGGTGAGTTTGAGCCACCAGCCTTGCAGTTCAAATTGACCTTTTGGTCCAATACTTACCCTATAGCACCATACTGGGAGGTAATCAATAAATATTTGGCAAATGAATATATAAAAAGGCTTAAAATTGAAAAGGAAAGTCAAAGGGCAGGAAGGAGGAGGGGGCTGGGCATTGGGATGGTAATAAGGCTCAGGTCTGCAGCCTTGGGGGACTCAAGGACCTTGTGACTTCACCATGTGATACACCAGGATCAGAGGACAAGCATCCATCAGTCAGCACTGACCCTTTGTTGCCATCTACTGGGGCAGATCCTTATCTGCAGAGAAGGAGAAGACGGTCCTGGCTCCAACCTAGCCAATCCAGAAGCTGCCATCCACAGTGCCACTCCAATTGTCTTTCTCCAGGCCTGGTTGGCCTACAGTGTATCCTGCACAGCTGGTACTTGTTGTTGTTGT